AATTCAAGCCTATTGAACTTTGAAAATTTTAATTTCTACAAATAACGCCGAAACCTATCAAATCACGTGCGATTGACCTCAAATTTTGCACACAAGTCATAAATGACATAACATACCTATTAAAAGTTTCATAATCGAATTTCGACCCCGATATCAAAAAATCAACCCCTCGGCCAAACTTCCCAAAAATTTAACTTTTGGCATTTTAAGTCTAATTCATCTACGGACCTCCAAAAAAAATTTCAGACATGCTCCTAAGTCCAAAATTACCATACGGAGCTATTGGAATCATCAAAATTCAAATCCGAGGTCGTTTCCACATAGGTCCATATCCGATCCACTTTTCTAACTTAAATTTTCAATTATGAGACTAAGTGTCTCATTTCATTCCGAATTCCTTTCGGACCCTAACCAACTAATCCGATAAGTCATAAATCAATTGCAAGACATAAATTGAGAAGTAAATGGGGGAATGGGGTTATAATATTCAAAACGACCGGCCGGGTCGTTATATTTTGTGTGTTGATATTTTTTAAATTTTTTTTTTAAATTTCAGTTTCTAAAACTTTATTTTTCAATAATAATTTTTTTATAATAATATAAGTGAAAATATTATCCTTAATTCAAAACTCATTTTAGTTGGCTATCTACAAATTTAAAAAATTCTTTAGCCGGTGAATTATTTTTCTAGTATGATTCTATTTTGATATTTGACATTAACCATGTTAAATTTATGAGTTATTTGAATTATATGTAAATAACCTTAAATAATTATAATTATTGATAATCGTTAGATATTAATTAAGAAATACTACATAAAAAAAGACTAATATTTTTTTAAATCTATTAGTGATAATTTTATTTTTGCACTATTCTCATAAGTGTCATTGGAACCTAAAAATAGCCACAAAGCGAAATAATAACTCATTTTTATGGCAAAGCACAAAGGTTAACACAATATAAACGATTCTTTGGTTACGACATGACTCTTTTACTATGACTTGAACTCTTATTTGGTATGATATTATCTTTCAAAAAATATTTCTATTTTGAAATTTCAATTTCTAAAACTTTATATATATTTCAATAATGATTGTCTTTATAATGATGCAAGTGAAGATATTATCCTTAATTTAAAATTTACTTTAATCGGCTATCTAAAAATTTAAATGATTCTTTAGTCGGAAAATTTTTATTTCAGTATGACTCTATTTTAAGTTTATCGATATATCTAGCCACAGACTCTGAATTTTTAATACCCCATATATACAAAAAATTTGTTCTTTGAATTATTAAATGCTAAATTAGTTGATTGTTATTATATAATATTGCATATATTGTCTTAAAATTATCAAGTAGTTTATTTTTCGACGTCATACTTGGCTTAACCTCAATGC